TAAGACTAGATGGAATTCCTCTTTAGTTCCCCCGGGAGTCTGGGGAAAGGAAAACATCATACTCTGAAAGAGGAACCTCAGGGCCTCAATAGGACCAAGAACCTAGAGTTCAGGGGGAAGATAAATAGCAGGGTTTGCGTTCTATTTATGTCTTTTTAACATTAAGAATGGCTTCAACTGACTAAGCATTTCTCAACACTTTAGAGTCTAGTCCAACCAATCAACCAGTCCTCACTAAACCCTTTAAAATAATCTACTATTATCAGTCCCATTTCCTAGATGAAAAAACTGAGGCAGGAAGAAATCTGAGCCAAGGCTGCAGGCCTTGCCCCAAGCAGAGTCCAATCCTAGGATTCAAGCCCTCTCAGCCACCCAGACAAGTAATAGGGCCAATGCTGGTTTTCTTACCTAAAAGACTAAGTAGTAATTACAGCCTTTGGGGATAATTAATCAAAGACTTTGCCCTCCCATTTGTAAAAAAGTCTCTCTGGTCTCCTACTCCACACCTAGGCTGCAACTCAATCCCTGCCCTAAGGGCAGGGTGAGGAGCCCAAGAGTCCAACTGCCACCAGGAGCCTGTGGACTCCATGCCCAGCCAGCTGTGTGACCTCGGGCCAGGCCCCTCCTCTCAGTTCTGTGAACTTGGGCTTCAGATTCCACAACCTGTCTCCCTCATTGGATGGTCCTCAGCACCTAATGAGAAAACCTGGGGCTAACTGCGAGGGGAATAGGTGGGGCCTCTGGGGTTTAGGAACAGTGGAGGCCAATGTTCAAATCCCAGGTTAGATGCTCACTAGCTCCAAGACCCTGAGTGACCTCAATTTTATCATTTCTAAAGTGGGGAAAACAGAACCAACCTTGTAGTTATGGGGAGAAGCCCGTACAAGAGTACTCTCAAGTCTCTTCGCAGATACACTGAAGCCATCACGGATGACATGATGTGGTATGTGGTGGATGAACAAGAGTGGCTGTGGGTCCAGGACAGCTTGGGCTGGGTGACAGGGGCATGGGGATTGACTGTACCATCTGCCACTGGCTCCTTCCGCATTATATTTGACATTTTCCATAGTAAAATGTTTAAAATACGAAGTTCTTTTCAGAGAACCTGACACCTAATCACATAGATACTGCTCAAAAACTCATCTACTTAATGGGTAATAACCACAATGCAGGCTCAGGATAAAAGTACTATTTCTTGCCTTCCCAGAGCTGTCAGCCTGGTTGTGGAGACACACAGATGCCAGAGGACAGCATGCAGTACCCTCCACGTCAGTGGTGGATGCAGTTTGCTTAAAGGACTTTCCAGAGAGGACAGGTACAAACATGGGCTTGACATGCAGGCAGGCTATGAATCCATGAAAATGGTGGGGCCGGAGTATGGGGAGCATACTCCAAGTCACTCCACAGCATTTCTTTTTCTCAGGAACACAGGGACTGAAGACACAGAATGAGAAGCAGTGGCTGCCCCGAAGAGGCTCACAGGTTAGCGTACTGGTTTCTGTGAGGATTCTGAAGACTACTGTGTTTAAGGCACTTGTGAGAAAAAGTGGTGAATGAAGCATACAAAAATGCTTGCCCTGGTGAAGCTTAACCATCTGGAGTGATTTTCTAAATGATAATACTTAGTGTGACCTATATTAGAAAAGATGTTATCTATTATTTGGTGATTATATGCCATGCGTTGTGTTCAGTGCTTTAAATCCACTTTGTCATTTGATTTTCATTGACTCCTTGCAACAACTTTATAAGGGAAGTACTATTTATCATTATCTTTACGCATGAGAAAATGGAAGAAGCTCAGAGTTTATGTGACCCACCAAAGGTCTCAGAGCCAGCAAACAGCAAACCAGGACTCAGCCCCAAGGAGGCTGACTTCAAAGTGAGTGTCCACTGCTACACTGGGGCAGAGCAGCTGTGGCCTGGAAAGAAGGCGCTATCGAAACAATGGCATGGGAGCTGGGTCTTGTGGGGTAAGTAATGGAAACGGTGGAAACGAAGACAGAATAGACAGAAAACAATGGCATGAGGCAGCTGCTCCCAGAAAGAAGACTCACAACTTATTCTGGGGTGCAACAGGGTCCTCCCCAAGGGAGAGCAGACAACTCAGGAAAACGCCAGGCCTAACTCTCCAACTTCAAGTACATAAATGGCTCTTACATATCAGGTTAAACTTTAGGTTTTAATTTAGAAGTACCAGGGAGCACAGGTGATGCATGAGCGAGGGCGTAACAGAAGACGCGCACTCTTGTAAGGGCAGGAACTGGTCATGAACGGACAGGGCCCTAGACCTGAAGAGGACAGCAGTCCCCAAAAGCGATGCAATCCAATTGGTTCTGTACCAGCGGATGGTCAACAGGATGGACTGAGGCACTCGATTACCCTGGAGGAAGAGAGCCTGGAAATGACCCTGCTTATTCTCTCCCATGTGACTTTACTTGGGTCCCCTTTACCTTCACACACCAATAATTGTTTCCCTTTATTGCATAAAGAAGATTACATGGACAGGAGTTCTCACTGTATTTGATCCTGCCCTTCTCAAGTGCTTCAGAAAGAAGAACTCAGTTTTGTGAGCAGCAAGTTGCTGCTCATTTTAAGTATATTATTTAATTCTCAACCCTGAGACTTAGGACCTACTACCCCCATTTCACAGATTGAGAAACTGAGGCCTAGAGAAGCAGAGGGCTTTATGAGTCTTTCTTCTCTCTATACAATGGGCTTTCATTTACTCAAGGCACTAAAACACAATGATGAAACAGAAACAGAGAGTAGCCCTGTCTGCAGAGCTTGGGGTCAAAGCAGTCGGGGAAGCTTGCCCACTGATCCTGGCTCTCCCACCAACTACAAGCTTGTGCAGAGAAGCTGTCTTCAACAAGTCGGTGAATTCTCTGAAGGTGTAAAATCCTCATCTGTATGACGGGAATAACAACAGCACCTACACTTAGAATCTTTATGAGAATGACACATAAGAATGTGAATATAAACCTCAGCAGAATACGTGGCATACAGAGAATGTGCAATATATGTTATGAAAACGATGGAAGGAGGAGATAGCCGCTGGCACTGCAAGGCTCCTATTATGACCTCACTTCCAAGCCCCAAGACCCCATCTGCAAGGCTGCCTCTGACTCAAACCAGTACTCCCTGTATTATTCCACAGACAAGGAAAAGAGTGACTCATCCTGGCAATCGTGGAGCTTCTGGCTGGCCTGCACCAGCTGGGGAGAGAAGAGCCCCAAAGTGAAGGGGAAATAGGTGCCCCGGGGGCCCGGATGCTGGGCCACTGCCTCCTGGGTTTCATAGGCATCCTGACCATTAGCACCAGACAACAGGCCCTAGTAAAGACAAGCCCAGGCTCCTGGTAAACAACCAAGCAAACATGTCCCCTTCTGAGTTCAGGTGAACTTACTGCCCTGGTCTTGCACAGATGAAGGGTGGGAAAATGCACCCAGCCAAGGCTACCCTTTGACCTGCCCCTACGGTGGTTAGAGTTCTGGCTTGGAAAGAAGTTAGCTCCAGCTTCAGGGGCTACAGAGGCAGCAGCTTTCCAGAATCAGCAAGTGAACACTAGGACTTCAAGCCATTTTCCCAGTTCTCAAGGTGGCAAAGGCCCCTTCCAGGTGCTCACATCCAGTTTTAGAACAATGAGGGAATAGGATACCAATTGAAAAATGGGCCAAGTTCACAAACATGACATCTCACAGAACAGAACCACAAATGGCCCATAATCATATGGGGAAAAGGTTCAGCATCACCAGTAATCAAAGAAATGCACATTAAAACAATAAGAGTGATAGAATTTATTGATGAACAGACTGAAAAATGAAAAACAATTAAAATACCAAGAGGCATCTGGGTATGGGAAGCCAGGCATTCCCACACAATGCTGGTGTGTAAATTAGCACAATCTTTCTAGAAGGCAATCCAGAAATGCTTTTACCAAGTGCCTGCATAGTTATTTTGACAGAGTAATTTCACTTCTCGGCATTTAAATGAAGGAAAGAAGACATATGCAAAAATATTTATTTCAGCTTACAGTTAAAAAAAGTTATAAACAACTTAAGCAACTAACAATGAAGGACTGATTAAGTACATTTTGGTTCAACCCTCAATGAAATACTACATAACCATTCAGATATTAAGATACTGAGCAGCATGTTTACTGATGTGGAAAGGCAGTCATAGCACACTGTTTAGAAGGCAAAAAAAGCAAGTTACAGTAGTGTGACTTCAAGTTACAATTAGTATATAAAAAATGACTCCTTTTGTACAAAAGGTATAATCAATAGGAACCAACAGGAAAAAAAAAGTCTGGAAATATATATAAAAAGTAACTGGTTATCTTTGGGTAAGATTACTTATTTTCAATCTTTTTCTTTATGTTTTGCCAGTATTTTCTAACAGCTCTATAATTAAATATTTTTAAATAAGGGTTTGGGTTTTAGACCACATGACTTGTAAATCGCAGCTTCAAACAACCCGTACTCAGTGTGGGCCTACCATGCGGCCTCTGGAGCCTAAGTCACCGCCCCCAGCTGAAGCCCTCGACATTCCACTCTCCCAGTACTTGCTGCCCAGCTGTCTCCCTGTCCAGCCTAGGGAGCTTCCCCTGTCTATAATCTTGTGCCTAGCCAAGAGCTGAGCAAAGGAACTCAGCATGGTGACAGGTGCCATGGGGGCACGAGATGGAAGGCCCAACTCTAGTTCCAGAATCTTACTGGGACACAGAACTCACACACAAAGGGCTTAGTTGTATAACACAGACTATGAAAACCAAAGGAGAAAGCAGGGCAAGCTGGGCTACGAAGGCCTGCTAGAGCAGGTGGCCACTCACTGCAGGCAAGAGACACAGCTTGGACAAAGGTGAAGCCAACCCAGAGTTCTTTGGGATGCATGCCCCAAACCTTTCCAAGAAACTTTCACAATCCTTGGTCTGCTGAATTTTTGAACTTTGGCCCGAATGGGTAAAAGTTAAGTCTTCTAAACACAAGTCTTGCCTCTATCTTCCCTCTATCTCTGGATTAGCCAACAGACAGCAATCTTTTGGATCATGACAATAAATTACCTTTTTATTCACTTTCCCCAAGCCTTCCAAAGGAGGAGATGGAGGAGGGGAAGGGAGAGAGGGGGTGAGTCTGGAGGAGGAGGGGGAGTCGCAAGAACACTCAGACATCTCACAGGCAAACAGTGCTCACCCCCACTACACCTCACCGTAGGCTTCTCTTGCCAGCACCACCACCAGCCCCATTTGACAGATGGAGGACAGGAGGCTCCGAGAGTTAAAAATGGCTTGCTCTGGGGTCACCCAGCCAGAGGGTGGGGAAGGCGACTCCACTCAGGCCTTCTGACTCCAAGTCCAGTGCTATTTCGAGGTGACACACAGGACCTGGAGTCAGGAGCCCTGGGTAGCTCTGTCACCCGCTGGCTGCGTGGTCCTGCCCAAGCCGCTCACCCCTCGCAGTCTCTATCCCCAGCTGTAAAATGAGGAGGCACGCGATGGCCCGCCCAGGTCCTCTTCCGGCCGGGCTCTCTGAGCCTTCTAGGGGCGTCTGCAAAGCTCCCCCTATCAATTACATTTCCCAAGTTGGGCCGGCAAAGATCACCAGAAAGAGCCTCAGACTGTCACGTGGTTAAATAAAAAAAGCAAACGTCCCAGATTAACTTTCACTGCACTGCTCCAGCTGACACCTGATTACCCAATTTTCTAGTCTCTTTGGGTGAAATATTCTTGCTGGGTAGGCCCGCCGGGCGGCTAAATGGGCAAATAATTATTGGAGAGTTTTGAAGATGGAGTTAAAATCTGGGGTCGCTTTCCGAAGGGATAGTTCTTGGTATGGGTCCCTTAACAAGTCTCCAGCTATTTCAGGCCTCCCTCGTCTTAGCCGAGAGTTTTGGAGATACCCCCAGGTAAGTGACAGAACTTTCCTAGGGGCAATTCGGCCCCGCCCGCATCCGAAGCGCCGAGCCCCAGGCTGGAGGTGGGACCGGCCTTCAGAACAAACACGGGCTCCGAGCTGGGGACGGCGCCCGGTGACCGCCGCGGGAGCTCCACTGCAGTTTCGTAAGAGGTAAAAAGGTGCGCGCCCAGCGCGCGCGGCGTACACACACACACACACACACACACACACGAGCGCGCAGACCGCGTATCACACACACTACCTCACACACACACACGGCCTTGAGAAGAAAAGAGATCACGCGCCACCAAACTCCTTCCGCCCCAGCCCCAAACCCACCCCAAGCACGCCTGCCACCGACCACGCGGCCCCGCGACTCCCTGACGCAAGGACGTCTGCAGCCGGCAAGGGGCCGGCCTTCTCCCGCGCGCGGCGGGCTTCCTCTCCGCAACACCCCGCCACGCCGCGCGGTCCCAGCAGCCAGCCGGGAGTAGCCGCCCGGCGCTGTCTCCGCTGCTGCGTCCCCTCCAAGTCGCGTCTCACAGCAAAGTCAGCTTGCAAACCTCTCCCCGCCCACCCAGTCCCATGACAGCTGCTGCCGCCCAAAGACAGGCCGATTATAACAAGAAGCAAAGTTTCCCTCTCTCCCCTCCCACCTCCCGCCCTCCCCATCCCGCTCCCCCTCCCTTCCAGTGTTATGCAAAATGAGCCGGCACCGGCGTTCCTACTCCAGGTACCAAAGCAGCCCCTGCGAGTCGCGCCCGGTTCCGCACGGCGGCCCCTCTCCGCGCCCAGGGGTGCGCCCGCATCCGGGGTCTCATTCTTGGCTCCGCTGCATCCCCATCCTCCCGGCTACCCGCAGCTGGGCGCCCGGAGAAAAAGCCTTAAGTATGGGGCCAAACTTTATTCTTGCAACAGGCTTGGGATAGGAAAAACCAGAGAAGGGGGTGGGGGGCGCGCACGACTAGCGCAGGCATTTTCGCCGGCTGCCTGCCCCGGCAGTACTCCTAGTTCCCGTCTCCGAGTCACCAGTTTTCTCTCTCTCCCCACTCCACCGCAACAGAGCACCCACTCCTGTCACGCGCGGGTCGCCGGAGGGGCTCCCAGGGAGCAGCCAGAGCCCGGGACGCCGCCTCGCCTTCCCTTCCCCCAGCATCGCCGAGCGTGCACCGGGGCCGCACGCCGCGGGGGGACCCAGGGGCCCCCAAACAGTCCTACCGCCGTCATCCTGCCCACCTTTCCCCCCCGGGGGGGTCCAGGAAGGTGTTATCCCCGCCAGCACGTCCACGTGCCCCGCAGACCCCTATGTCCATCCACAGCAGGCAACTGGCAGGAAACTCTGCTCTGCGGGCGCCAGTGATGAGCCGCGGGGGGCCAGAAGCAGCACGCGGGGTACCGGAGACTGGAGCACTAGGGGACTCTGGGGTAGGGGGCAGGCGCCTGTGCCGGGGCCCCAAGTCCACGTGAAAGTACGGCAGCAAGTGCCGGGAGTCTGAGGGCGCGCCTCCAGCACCCAGAGCCAGCCTGAGGGTCCCCTCGCAGCTTGGCGCCGCTCCACCTCCCCAAGAAAGCGCGATACACACCAGCTCCGTCGGCGGGGGAGCGGATTCCAAGAGACCAAAGCGAGACCCTCTCCAGCGGCAGAGGCGTCCCCAACGTTCCGGCATGCTCTGGGGGGGCCTATAGCTCCCTGCCTCCGTGACGGAGCGCATCGCAGGGCGCATGGAAGAGGTACTCTGCAGCCCCCAATGCGCCCACTGCTGCCTCCCGGCCTCCGCGGCTGAGGCAGCAACCCCTGCAGCTCAGCACCTCTGGCCCCGGGCCCGCCGCCCCTGCTAGCCGTACCTGCGTGTCCGCGAGATAGTTGAGGAAAAAGGAGGAAAGCTCTTCGTCCAGCAGCGCGCCGCAGTCATTCCCCGCCATCTTCCAGCCGCGGCTGCAGCGTGCGGCGGAGTCAGCGCGGAGCCGGCCGGGGGAGGAAGCGAGCAAGCAGCCGGGGGAGGCGGGAGGAGGGAGCGAGGCTGGCGGGAGGCGGAGGGCGGAGCTCCAGCCCGGGCTGCCGCAGGGCCGCTGGCTGCGGAGGCGGGGCTGCGCGGTGCCTGCGCAGGCCGGGGGTCGCGCCCCCGCTTCCCTGCGTTACGTCTGGCACCGCGATCCTTACCTGCAGCCCCTAGCTCGGAGAAAAGCGCCCGCAGCTGGGTGACGATGCCCCAGCCGGCAGCCGGATGCCTGCGCAGCAATGCGGGCAGCCCCCTGCTCCTGCCAGAGCGAATCACGTTGCGTTAGCGCTGGGCGGGTCCTTCGAGACAACCTGCTACGGCACAGCTGGGGAAACTGAGTCCCAGGAAGGCTGAAGACCTTCCGTAGCAGGAATTACAGATCCCAGGTCTGACTGCCCTTCTTGAGTTTCTCAACCAGGGCTTCAAGGACAGAAACTGAGGGATACCATAGTTCTGAAGTGGAGAAATCAGGGAAGGTTCCTCGGAGGGGGTTGCATTTTAATCTTTTCCTTGAAAGATGCGTTGATCCATGTTCCATTAAGTTTGACCACCTCCTTCTCTCTCAAGCCTCCCTTCACTCCACTGTTCCCCCACCCCACAAAAAAACAAAACAAAAAAAATACAGAAACAAAAAATGCCAATGAGTTCCCTTACCACAGCCCACAACCCTTTGGAGTGGCCAGGCTCTTGCTGGCTTCCCCTGGCCCACTGGGATGGGCCATCTCACGAGGGACCTCTACCCGCAGAACGCCACCCCCTGCCTACCAGTCACCTAGTAACCACATCTTCAGGGCTCCCCTCCCCACCGCCCTTCAGACTGTCAGCGCCCACCCTCTCCCCGGGCCCCCACCATCTTGGGCTCCATTGCCTTTCCTTTAAAACACTGGTCATAGTTCGCATTTTACATTTGTTTCAGTAAAGATTTGATCTTCATGAGTTAGAGTTACTAGACTCTAAGACCCATGAAAGCAAAGCTTGAATCTCCTTTTGCATTTGCTATGTCTCCTGTGCCTGGCACATAGTACTTAATAAATAATGTGTTACCTATAAAACCTGGGTGATTTTTGACCTACCCTCACTCCACCACCATCACACATCATATAGATGGGACTGCCTAGAGTCAAGAGTGCGCATACAGTGAGTGCCTCTATGCACCGGAACCAGGACTCAAGCCTCCCGACTCCAACCTTGAACTCTCGTCACCATGCCCTGCTGTTTGCCAGGCAGGTGAGGGCACTACCTGAATAAGGTATGAAGGCGGGAAGATTTAGGCCTGTTTTATTGGGCATGCCTACCCACCTCCCCACCCTCTCTCTACTCCAGGGATGCCCCACCCTGCCTGCCATGCAAGGGGTCCCTCAGAGCCACAGAGGGAAACAGGGAGAGTCCCTAGTACACCTGCTCAGACTTGAACACCAGAGCAAGAGCTTCCTTCTCCAGTCTGAGGTTCCCAGAACCGCAGGGCGTGATTTCACTCTTTGGGCTTTAGGCCAGAGTGCTTTTAAGGAACAATGAATTCCAACTGAGAGCCTACATCTAGCCTTGGAGCTCTAATCTGGGAGTCAGGAGCCCCGGGTTCTGGTCCAGCCCTGCTGCGTCTTGTCCCAGTATTGGGCAACTCAGGAAGTTAGAAGCATGGGCCCTGTAGTCAGATTGCCTGGACCCCTGCAAGTCAGTTAGTTTCAGGCTTCAGTTTCCTCATCTACACGGATGGGGATCAGAGAACTACTTACTTCATAGAGTTGTTATGATAATCAAAGAGATAATATATGTAAAGTGTTGGCACAGTGCCTGACTTCATGGGGAAAATGCTAAACTTTATGGTACTCTGTTGCCTTGTCTGTAAAAATGGGGATAAAATATATGCCCCTTGAAGGCGCTGGCCAGTAACACTGTCCCTTCCTCCTGCACTTGCAAACTGCTGGCTACAATGAACTACAGGAGATAAGAATTTGAATCCCGGTCCTCACTAGTTGTGTGCCCTTGATAATTTACTTAACCTCTCTGATCCTCAGTTTCCTCCACATAGAGATCTTGTGAGGATTACATGAAACAATACATGTACAATAAATTGCTTGGCCCTTTGCCTTGCAGGTAGGAAGTACATATCCTCACTCTTCTTCATCCCCTTCATTGCCAACATCATCAACAGTAGCACTAAGGACTTGAACTCTCCTAAGACCCCACCTTCCTGCTGCTTGCATGGACACCGGAGTCAGAGCCCTGTGGGACAGTTTCTAGAGATGCCCCTACCAGATCTAGCCTGCCCTCTGACCGGTGTTGTGCCCCTTTTAGGCCAGAGGCTAGCCATCTCCAGCCTTGGGCTTGCAGGGCTGCAGGATCACTCAGGACTCCCAGCGAAGGCCTCAACAGTGCTTGCCCAAAGGTTTTTGTCTTTACAACTTCAGTGTTGATAGAAAAATCCACAAATTGCCCAGCTTTGGGGACTTTCTTACTAATTACTGTGTCCTCAGAATGACTTCTGGCTGACAAGAAACTCAGGTGAGAAGACCACCCCACCCCACCTGAAATATCTAGCTTCTGTTTCAAAAGCATCTTATTCCAGGGACTCCCTCATCACAGGCCACTCAGAGTGTCAGCCTCATTGCACTCTCTAATCCAAGGAGGAATTTGAAGTTCTCCACTGATATTAGCCCTCAGGAAACCTAAGGTGCTAGATGATCTTGTGCAATTTCGTTCCCTCTCTGAGGCTGTTTCCTTATCTGTAAAATAAAAGAGCTAGTATAAGTGAACCTCTACTGAACCCTCCACCCCAGATATATAGCAATTTATAGGTATCAGCCAAAACTTAGCAGCTTTTCTGTACTGTGCATGTTGCATTTATATCTTCCCAGGTTCTTTCCACAACCCTGAGTAGTTGATGTTATCATGCCCATTTTATGACTCAGGAAACTAAAGCTTAAAAGGGGTTAAAGTGATTAGCCCAAGCTCAAGCAGTTACAGACACATCAGAGTCAAATCCAGATCTGTGCATGACCCAAACCACAGACCCTTGAAGGGAATTGAGAAAAACCTCACAGTATTTAACCACTCCCAAGAAGCTGGAATGGTAGCACATTTCTTATGTTACGACTTCCATATAAAAGGCAATAATAGTGCTAGACTTGGACTTCATGTGGCTCAACTCCTACCTTCTCTGCCTTTTTATTGGCCTTGCCTCTCCCAAGATTAGTGAAAGTTTGCCCTATGCACACCCTGGGCAAAACCCAGACTCCTTCAGGCTCCGTGGAAATGGCTCCAGCAAAATGAACCTATTTAACTTGAATATTATCTACTGACAAACGCTCAAAAGTAAAAACCTCAGCATTTTCTCCTTCCTAAGAATAGAAGAATGTTTTATTCAGACACGACAGCCATGGTTCTCAAACTCTGGAGGGTATGACAGTCACCAGGGCCTTGTTACCAGAGAAGACAAGTCAGTAGGTCTGCAGTGGGCCCAGGAGTCTTCATTTAATAGGCTCCCCTGGATGACTGTGCTGCAGGAAACACCCATCATTCAACTGATATTGAATGAGCACCTACTATGTGTCAGCCGCCACACATGGATAAATCAGTGAACACAACAGCTGCCATCCCTGCCCACATTCTATTCAGCATAACTGCTTAGTAAATGTTTGTTCAATGAGTGAAGGAGATAGGACGTGCATCTTGATAATCACTCAGGCTTCCTGCCAGCCACCTACAACTCTGTGGTTCTGACCCAGGCCAGGGATCCAGAAACAAACCTATTTCCACCTGTCCAGGGGCAGGAACTCAAGCTGAGAGGAGCTAAAAAGGTGTCTGCTTTTTATTGTTAAGTCTGACAGCCATCTCCACCTTCCATTCAATGAAGCATTTTAGAACTGCGGAGGGGCAGTGGACAGCATGTTATCCACTGCCTCACTGTGCAGATGGAAGAATGTGGCTGAGGTCACACAGCCCTTCAGCGGCAGAGCCAGGGCTAAAAGCCTTGGCGCAGGATACACAGGGTGCTACAAAATGCTCAGGCAACTTCCATGGGACACATCTCCTCAGGTCTGAGCACTTGGAAAGAGCACCCAGATGGTGTCATTCTAGGGTCTCAGAACTTGGAGGTGGGGAGCTTTGACACTGGGAAAGTCCATCCTGAACAAGGTATTTCTTAGTGTCAACCAATGTCCTATTCTTCCTGCAGGGTTAACCTATGAACTCACCAGCACTTCTGGGGATGCATTTAGATCACTTTCTCTTTCATTTGCTACAATGATTAAAGGGCTTCAAAATCAGCAGATGGGGGCACTCAACAGGCTGTTACTTCAGCTATTACTGTTTTTAGTTTTGCAAGGGCTGTTTTATGTTCACCCTCCTCAGCCTCATGAGTGACTGTGCACAAAGCATGGGAATGAAAAAGCAGGATGGGAAGAGAGATGTGCTTTTTCCCCAACTGCTCGCAGAACAAAAAGATCTTAGGATCTGATAGATGCTCATTTGATAGATGGAAAAACAAAGGCCCAAAGATGTGAGGTGGTTTGTTGTTGTTGTTTTTAGCAGAGATGTAAATGCTACCAGGTTATTTTATATCTAGATCTAGATAGACCAGAACAGCAATATATAAAGAAACAGTCACCTGACAGTAAAGGGCAACATAGTATGCCTATCTAATAAGGCAAGCAGATGGCAGGAATACCTGAGTACCTGTTCTTCATACTCTTGTCCCTTACTGGCTTTGGGACCTTGGCTGACCTAGAGTTTTGTGTTGGTCAAATTCATTTCAAAGGACTTTGAACTCTATATCATTATCCTAAATCATCAATAATGCTGCTCCTGGGACATTATCCTAAAGGTCTGATTCAAAAAATGGGAAAACTACAGCATGATGTTTATCTATACTTTGATTCAACAAATATTTTTAGAACCTTCTGGGTGCCAGGCACTGTACTACAGGCCACCAAGTGGGAGCCATGATACAGTCTTGGCTCTTACATAACTCATAGCTCCAATCTCCACAGGGACAGGGGAGAGAAAAATCAACATGCAATTTTCTAGAGTGTAATAAGTTCTTCAGTGAAGGAGGCATGCTGGAGGCTGGAAATGTTGGGTGAAGATCTTAGGGGAAAGGTGGGGTCCTGAGCCAAGACAATGGAAGTAGCAGGAGGGATGTGGAGGAGTGGACAGATTAAAGCTGTATTTTAAAGCAGAAATCAATAGGCTCTGGTCATAGGTAAGAAATGGTGGGAGAGTTATAGGGAAAGGACAAGACACCCAGTTTCTGGCTTCAGAGGATGATGGGTCTTAGAGGTGAGACAACTTGGGAGGAAGACTCCTGAATGGATATTCTGATGACTGTGGGATGTCCGAGAGGAGACCCATGTGGGGACAACACGAATGCCAAGCAAAACCTTGGCAATAACCTCAGCATGTAGTAAGACAGAGCAGTTTGATTCCCCCCTAGTTACAGATAGATCTAAGCTCACACATGTGCACAGAGAACTATGTCCACTCATGTTCACTGTAATATTGTTCATTATAGTAAAAACAGAGAGAGTCTAAAAAAATGAACCATGGTAAGGCCATAATGGAATGTTAGACAATAGAGAAAGTCAGTAATATCCACATGAATCCACAAAGGTAAATCACAAAAACAACAAATGAGATAAGCAAGCAGCCTAAGGATACATACAGTATTATGCCACTTATATAATATTTTAAAATATGCCAAATAACATGCCATAATGTTGGTTAATACCAATATATGAAGTAAAATCATATACATGGGACAGCAAAGACAGAGATCAATTTTAGTAAAGTGAGAGGAGATGGCTTCATGGGTGTGCAAACTATGCAATCACCCTGGCCCTGTACTTAAAAGGACGGGCTTGCTTGAATGCTCTGGTGTCACTGTCTTGAAATTTATAGTGATTTTTCAATAAAGGTCCCTGCATTTTCATTTTGCACTGGATCTCACAAGTTATGTAACTTCTTCTGGGTGATTAGCCTATGTTGTGCAGAAGAAACTTCCAACATATCTGTAATGGTTTTCTTGTTTAATC